ACCACATCTCGGACCCATTTGGGACATCTTGAATGCATCCCAAAGCATGCTGCAAACATGAGCTCAGCAACATCCCAGCCCTATACGAAGTATAGAAGGCTATCCACCAGCTTAAGAACAACAAGGCTGTTAGAGCAGATAGTATCCCTGCTGAGGCATTGAAATGTGGAGGCAAAGATTTCCTGCTACAGCTACGTGTCCTCTGTCTGGAAGGTGGAGTAATTTTGAGGTGCTGAATGACCTCCTCTTGCTATGTAATAAATCAAACAGCTGCAGATGTTGGTCATCTGAAACGAGCCAAACAGAAATTCTAGACCAATGCAAGGTGATGCAGTTTGGAAGATCAAATTAGGTGCAAATTTCAACATAAATGGCAGAATTCTTGGGAGCATTGATGTACAGAGGGATCTGACGTACAGGTCCACAGTTCCCTGAAAGTGGCAATACAGGTGGATAAAGTGGTCAAGAAGGCATATAACATACTTGCTGTCATTTGGCGCAGGGATCGAATAGTTGCTAAGTTTTATATTACAGGTGTACAAAACTTTGGATAGGCCACATTTAGAATATTGTGCGCAGTTCTGGTCACCACACTACCAGAAGGACGTTGATGCTTTGGAGAGGGTGCAGAGAAGGTTTACCTAGATGTTGCCTGGTCCGGAGAGTTTGAGTTATGAGGAGATTGGATAAACTCGGATTGTTTTCACTGGAAAGATGGAGGCTGAGGGGCAACCTGATAGAAGTGTACAAAATTATGAGAGGCATAGACAGAGTGGATAGTAAGGAGCTTTATCCCCCAGGGTGAAGAGGTCAACTCAACGAGGTCACAGGTTCAAGCTGAAGTAGGGGGGAATGTTTAGGGGAGAAGTGCGAAGGAAAAATCTTCTTTTTTTTCCTATTCATTTGAGGGATGTGGGTGTCACTGGCTGGCCAGCATTTCTTGCCCATCCCTAGTTTGCCTTGAGCAGGTGGTGGTGAGCTGCCTTCTTGAAATGCTGCAGGTTGACCCACAATGCCATTAGACAGGGTATTCCAGGATTTTGACCCAGCGACAGTGAAGGAACGACGATATGTTTCCAAGTCAGGATAGTGTGTGACTTGGGGAACTTGGAGATGGTGGTGTTCCCATATGTCTGCTGCCCTTGTCCTTCTAGATGGAAGTGGTCGTGGGTTTGGAAGGTGCTGTCTGAGGATCTTTGGTGAATTTCTGCAGTGCATCATGTAGATAGTAGCAGCAGTGTGTACTGAGCATCGGTTGTGGATGTAATGCCAGTAATGCGGGTTGCTTTGTCCTGGATGGAATCAAGCTTCTTGAGTGTTGTTGGGGCTGCACTCATCCAGGCAAGTTGGGAGTATTCCATTACAATCCTGATTTATACCTTGTAGATGGTGGACAGGCTTTGGGGAGTGAGGAGGTGAGTTACTCGCTGCAGTATTCCTAGCTTCTGGCCTGCTTTTATAGCCACTATGTTTATGTGGTGAGTTTTTAGTTGAGTTTCTGGTCAATGAAAACCCCCAGAATGCTGATAATGGGGGATTCCGTGAAGGTAACACCGTTGAATATCAAGGGGGTAGTGGTTAGATTGTCTCCTTTTTATTGGTGATAGTCATAGTTTGGCATTTGTGTGGTGTGAATGTCACTTGCCACTTGTCAGCCCAAGCCTGGATATTGCCAGATCTTGTTGCATGTAAACATGGACTGCTTCAGTATCTGAAGAGTCACGACTGGTGCTGAACATTGTGCAATCATCGGCGGGCGTCCACACTTTTGTCCTTATGGTGGAGGGAATGTCATTGATGAAGCAGCTGAAGATGGTTGGGCCTAGGACACCTCCCTGAGGAACTCCTGCAGAGATGTCCTGGAGCTGAGATGATTGACGTCCAAAAACCACAACCATCTTCGTATGTGCCAGACATGACTCCAAACACAGGAGAGTTTGCCCCCTGATACCCATTGATTCCAGTTTTGCTAGGGCACCTTGATGCCACACCCTGTTGAATGCAGCCTTGATGTCAAGGGCTGTCACTTTCCCCTGGCCTCGGGAATTCAGCTCTCTTGTCCATGTTTGAACCAAGGCTGTAATGAGGTCATCGACCTAGGCACCAGAAAAGACAACGGCAGAAACCGCCCTGTTGACCCGGCAAAGTCCTCCTCACTAACATCTGGGGGTTAGTGCCAAAATTGGGAGAGCTGTCTCAGCCTAGTTAAGCAACAGCCTAACATAGTCATATGACAGAATCATACCTTACAGAACAATGTTCCAGACACCACCATCACCGTCCCTGGATATGTCCCGTCCCACCGGCAGGACAGACCCAGCAGAGGGAGCGGCACAGTGGTATACAGTTGGGAGGGTGTTGCTGTAGGAGTCCTCAACATTTGACTCTGGACTCCATGAAGTCTCATGGCTTCAGGCTAAACATGGGCAAGGAAACCTCCTGCTGATTACCACATACCATCCTCCCTCAGCTGATAAATCGGTATTCTTCCGTGTTGAACAACACTTAAAGGAAGCACTGGGGATGGCAAGGGCACAAAATGTACTCTGGGTGGGAGATTTCAATGTCCACGACAAGGAGTGGCTCGGCAGCAGTACTACTGATCGAGCTGGTCAGGTCCTAAAGGACGTAGCTGCTAGACTGGGTCTGCGGCAGGTGGTGAGGGAACCAACAAGAGGGAAAAACATACTTGACCTCATCCTTACCAATCTGCCAGTTGCAGTTGCATCTGTCCATGATAGTAACTGTAAGAGTGACCATTGCACAGTCCTTGTGGAGACAAAGTCCTGCCTTCACATTGAGAATAACTTCCGTCGTGTTGTGTGGCACTATCACTGTGCTAAATGGGACAAACTTTGCACAGATCTAGCAACTCAAGATTGGGCATCCATGAGGCGCTATGGGCCATCAACAGCAGCAGAATTTTTCGCACGGAGGGTGGTAGGTCCCTGGAATGCCCTGCAAGTGGAGATGGTGTTTAGCAATGTTTAAGGTGTACCTTGATAGACACATGAATGGATGGTGAACAGAGGGATGGAAATCCCATAAGGGCACTATGTAGCGGGTCAAAATAAGGAACAGGAATCGGTGCGGGCTTGGTGGGCCGAAGGGCCTAGTCCTGTGCCTTTTGTTCTTTCTTTGAAATTGCTGGAGAAATCTAGCAGGTCTAGCAGCATCTGTGGAGAGAAATCACAGTCCAGTGACCTTCAAGGTTAATAATCCAGAGGCCCAGAACTAATGGTACTCTAGGTACATGGGTTTAAATCCCACAATGGCAGTTGGTGGAGTTTGAATTCAGTTGGTAAAATCTGGAAGTAAAAACCGGTCGAGTGATGGCTTAGTGGTATTATTGCTGGACTGCTAATCCAGAGACCTAGGTAATGTTCCAGGGACCCGGATTCAAATCCCACCATGGCCAGTGGTGGAATTTTAAATTCAAAATAAAATCTGGAATTAAGAGTCTAGTGATGACCATGAATCCATTGTCAATTGTCAGGAAAAGCCCATTAGGGTCACTAATGTCCTTTAGGGAAGGAAGCTACTATCTTTATCTGGTCTGGTCTATGACTCCAGACCCAGTTTGGTTGACTCTCTGAACTGCCTAATAGGCAGTTAGGGATGGGCAAGAAATACTGGCCTGTACAACGATGCCCTCATCCTGTAAATGAATAAAGGAAAAATAAACTTGTCAATTGCTGTAAAATTGCATCCTGGTTCACTAGTGCCCTTTGGGAAAGGAAATCTGCTATCCTTACCTGCTCTGGCCTACATGTGACTCCAGACACCACAGTATGTGGTTGACTGACTCTGAACTGATCTGAACTGTCAAATCACTTGAGGACCATTAGAGATGCCCCTGCCAGTGACAGCTATATTCATGAAAGAGAAATTTTCTTTTTTTTTAGAAAGAAGCCACAAAATGATTAGCTAGTTTTGTAATGTGGTATTATGATCTGTTTTCTATAATGAAGTCAAAATCAGCCAATGTCTTTGAAAAATGATTTTAACTTTGGAATGCAGCTACTATTAAGTATGCAAATCAGAAACCCAGTTTTGTTGATAAATGGTGATGGGATTATTGACTATTTTGCTGGCTGGTTCAGAAAAATGTTCCAGTGAGAGAACTTGCTGTTCTTTGGTTGATACCCACCTACACCAAATGAAGTGCGAACTAATGACTTCACAGCTTGAAGATCCTTGTGGCATGGAGGTAGATCTTACCTGCTGGAGAGGTATGTCATTACATCTCCAAACACATTGATTCGAAAATATCTTGATTTCATAGCCTGAAATAAATGTGTTCTACCCTGCTCGTGCTGTTCAGCTGTCTCTATAGTTGTAGGATAAAATGAACAAGGCCACTTGGGGCTCTTGTGGCACAGTGGTAGTGTCCCTGCCTCTGGACTAGAAGACCTGGGTTTAAGCCCCAACTGGGCCAAGGGTGTAATAACATCTCTGAACTGACTGACTTATAAATCAAACTAAACAAACGAACAAGGCAGCATACATACTTTTTTGGAAGGACAGATCATCACCTACTGTTCTCATTGACCAATTTCTGGGGAGAAAAAATTATTTACTGTTGATGTTAATGGTCAACCATGCTCCTGTATTTCATTCTGCCTGAGGATGTCTATTTTGTTGCTTTAAATCTTTTGTGTAGATCAGACATGCTGAAGTTCAGATGGTCGATGCATCTTACCTTTCACTTGAAGCTGATGTCACTCAACAGTGTCTGTTTCTAAGTGTCATTTCATTTTCTCCACATTGTGGCATCTAAAGGCATAGTCGCTATCAATGCAGGATTGAGTGATCTTCATTTGGGTGGTTTTATCCCACTTGAACATTGGCAACATCTGGCACAACAGTTCTCATCCAAGGATCTGGATGTTAGAGCCTCTGCCTTCTCTTGCACTTCCTTCCAGTTTGCACGTTGTTTCTGTGGGAATGTTCCTTTTGAAGTCTGCCCCTGATTAATTCTGCTGCTTCCATTTTTACAGAGTGGACTCAGATTTTGACGAGGTACCTTCGTGAGCAGCTGGTTAAAATTGCTGAACATTACCACGGACCAGCTGGGCAAGGTCCTGCGTCTACAACAACTGTGCCTCCAGAAGTGGAACAAGCAATAAAACAGTGGGAATACAACGAGAAGCTGGCATTTTATATGTTCCAGGTAATTAAGGCCATCGCCTCGTGACATGATTCTCGAAGATCCATCACATGACCTTGTCTCTCCACCTGTACCACTCGGTCTAATGACATTTTCTCCCCTCTGTCTCCTGTATTATTTATAACCAGTGGAGATATTCAAACAATTTTTTTTAAACAAATCACACTTCTGTTTCATCCCCTTTTTCAAAAAATTTTTCTCCTGGGATGCTTGCACCTCTGCACTAAATAATTGTAACTTCTTGGAAACTTCAGAATAATCCTGTGGGGTTAGGAACTCCTACGGGTGATGAGACCGTAATGATCACAGAGATCTTTAAAAGTTTTATTCTCTTCCTCCTGCATATGACGGACTGGGGTATGATTGCATGGGCTCTGACACAAGGAGGAATTAGATATAGATCTTGAGGCTAAAGGGATCAAAGGCTAAGGGGAGAAAGTGGGAAGAGGGTACTGAGTTGGATGATCAGTGATGATCAGCCAAGATCATACCGATTGGCAGAACAGGCTCAAAGGGCTGAATGGCCTACTCCTATTTTCTATATTTCACATTGTCCTGTGTGATAGAACATGAAATGGCCATTCTACCCATCAAGCCTCTTCTACCTTGTCTCTCATTTTTTGATACAGAAACATTATACACCAAGGTAAACTGAATTGCACAGTAGGTTAATGATGTTATTGTAACTCATCTTCACTTTCTGATTCAATTTTTAAAAAGGCAACGAATACTGACTGACTGGCAGTGTATTTCCAGTTTTTCTTCTTTTTGGTTGATTAGATTTGTTTAACTTTTTTTGTTTATTTTACCACTGTGTACTTTTCCATTGACTTCATTCCCACATCAATTATTCATCCGCTTGAATTCCTTCCCCCTCTCTTCGTGAAGCAATCTAGTAGTCTAGTGAATGCTCCTCCTACGTGTCAGTTCCTATCCTCGGCATATGTTGGCTTAGCATGCCTTCTGGCACACTCGGGCAACTGTGTGGAGTTTGCACATTCTCCCCGTGTCTGTGTGTGTTTCCTCCCGCAGTCTAAAGATGTGAGGTTAGGTGGGTTGGCTGTGCTAAATTGCCCGTAGTGTTCAGGGATGTGCAAGTTAGTTGGGTTAGCCAGTGGGAAATGCAGGGTTATAGGGATAGGGGGATGGGTCTGGGTGGGATGCTCTTCAGAGGGTTGGTGTGGACTCAATGGTTCAAATGGCCTGCTTCCACAGTGTAGGGATTCGATGATTCTAAGTGCTGTTGGTCCTTCTTCAAGTGCCTTTTTGTTCCAGTTTTAGGATGGGAAAGAGGAGGAGAGACTGTGTATGAATGCTAACCATCTCTAACTTTGCTTTAGGCTGACAAATTCTGTGCTGTGGATCTTTGGAAAGCACACTTCCTTTTTTTCTTCTGATGCAGGAGGCCTAGGTATCAAGTTCCCATTCCTGAGACCTGAGCATAAAAATCTAGGCTGTCCCTTGCAGTGCTAAAGATGTGCTTCATATATTTTTTGGAGGTGCTGCCATGCAGAGGAGATGTTAAACTGAGATCCAGTCTGCTTTCTCAGGTAGATGCACATTAGAAGTAAAGCAGGGGAGATAACTTCCCTGGTCTTTTGGCTGTTGCATCTCACTGTGGTAGTGCACTGGAAATCAAGTCTCATTATTCCTGCAGTTATTACAAAAGTTAAAGATTTTATAGAAGTAATCTAAATTCATTAATTTACCTGATTTTCAGACCATGGATGTCAGCACAGACCAAGTTTCTGTATTTGAAAGGGATTGTAATTTATTACAAATAAGTAGATTCTAGCTACAGGTAAACGATTGTGAACCATTGCCATATACTCTTCTAGTTAAAACTCTAAGCACATTATAAAACTCATTCTACATGTGTAGGCAGGCATGAAATAACGGGTATTATGTGTGACAAACTGAAGACCGTTCAATGGTCCCTGTGCACTGGGTTTGCTGAGATGATCCTTTTGCTGCTCGGAACACTGCTCCTTGATCTCCCTTCTCCACTTGCTTCCGGGGGGCACAGAGTGACTGGATCACAACTTGTAAAGTTGTTGATATATCGGTTAAAAAACATGCACCTCACAGTAACAGGTGAGGGGAAATAAACTGGCTTTCTTCCAGCTTCAGATTTTTTCAACTACAGAGAAAAAAGACAACACCATTGCTTCTCGATGGGTTCTGACCGAATATTCCGACTCGGAAGCTGTTCAGCTACTTAGGAGTTAATCACCTTGTTGGCAGGTGGGAGGTCTTTGTCATTAGTTTGTGGAATAATGACTAGTTGTCAATCAGCCTCCTGCTGCCAGCTGAATCTCATTTTGTACATACCCATAGGTTTCTGCCTGCCTGTTCCCACCCCCACTGCTTGATCAAATAGCAATATAAACAGCACTTGCCGTGAGTGATGGTAACGTGCTTTTAAAATCCTTCCACAGCCTAGGTTTTAAAAATAACCCTGTTTCCATTTCAATCTCAATCAAAAATACCGAAAACTAAAGAGAAACCGTCTTTATGTGGCCAATACTTGCCTTACATTTGGATATTATCACTGCTGTTTGAGATCTTTTTGTATGCAAATTGCCAGAGTTTCTTGTGTTTAGAATAGTGACTGCTCGTTGGGAGATTTGGTCAGATGCATTATTTTGCATAAGTAGCACACGTTTGTCCACAATAAGGCACAGAGGTGATGGATATATGCTGCAAAATGATTCTGCTCATTATTCATTCTGAAGCAGTTTGACATTGTGCACGGTCTTTAACTATTGTGGTTTGTATGCGGAATGAACTGCCAGAGGAAGTGATGGATGCAGGTACAGTTACAGCATTTAAAAGACATTTGGACAGGTACATGAATAGGAAAGGTTTAGAGGGATATGGGCCAAACGCATACAAAAGGGACTAGTTTAGTTTGGGAAACTTGTTCGGCATGGGCAAATGGGACTAAAGGGTCTGTTTCCTTGCTGTATGATACTACTTCATTTTCTGAGGGAGTCAGGACTTGGGTTTTGGAGTGACAAAGTGCCTCCCTGTAAGGGATACTGTATTGTGCAAACAACTGCAATTATTTTAATTGCAAATATGATTTTATTTATCTTCAATGCCTTTTTATGTTGGTTAGTGTCACAATCTGTAACCAAACCATGGCAACGCAGCCTGCTGAGATGGTGTGTTTTGCACTGGATTGAGGAGGAGTGGAAAGTAGCTACTCAATATGCTTTGGAAATACAAGTTAAAATCTCTACTTGCAAAGGGCATGAAGAGACTCCCAGCTGTGTACTGTTCATGATTCACATTCAGGAGAGGAAGGAAAGGTTTTTTGACAAGAATTGAGCATAGGCAAAATACAAAGTAGTCAGTATATTAGCAATTGCTGGTTTAAACCTTTTGGGCCGTGCTCTGTTCCATTGACTTCAGTCAAACTGAATATCACACATAACACATCATAGGCAGCAAATTCATTTCTGTCTTGCATGCGACTCGCTGGCACGGTGGCTCAGTGGTTAGCACTGCTGGCCTCAGTGTCGGGGTTCAACTCCAGCCTCTGGTGACTGTCTGTCTGTGTGGAGTTTGCACATTCTCCCTGTGTCTGTCTGTGTGGGCTTCCTCCGGGTGCTCCGGTTTCCTCCCACAGTCCAAAGATGTGCAGATTAGAGTGGATTGGCCATGCTAAATTACCCATGGTGTCCAGGGATGTGTAGGCTAGCTGGATTAGCCATGGAAAATGCAGGGTCACGAGGATGGGGAGGGAAGTGGGTCTGGTTGGGCTGCTCTTCAGAGGGTAGATGTGGATTTGATGGACTGAATGGTCTGCCTCCACACTGTAAGGATTCTATGAGCAATGACTTGTGTTCCATTTCCCTGCTCCCCTCTTGGGTTTAGCTCTGTTACGTAGAAGTTGATCATTAGATTGTTCCAGGTGTGGAAGTAGACACAGCCAGAAAATTCAGGAGGGATCAGGATAGGTATTTAAAAGGAGGGAGGGAATTTTTTCAGATCTTGCAACTGAGATGGATTGCAGTATTCCTTACAAAACGGTATACCTCCTAGGGTGGCTTTAATTCTGAGGGTCCAATAAGTACCAACTAGTCACATAATTGTGAAAAGAACCTCAAATGTAGATGATGGTATAAAAACAGAAATTGCTAGAGAAACTCGATAGGCCTGGCAGCATCTGGAGAGAAAGCAGAGTTAACATTGTTGGTCCAGTGACCCTTCAGTGCGGGACAGAACTGCTTTTGCTTCAGGTTTCCAATGTCTGCAGTTCTTTGCTTTATTGTAGATGACAGTAGTTTGCTTCGGAAGGAAAAGGGGGGAAAGCTTTCTGAATTGATGGCAGTTCGTTCTTTGGGTGAATTTTTAAAGAGAGCCAGTTTTCCTGAAGAGTTGTCCGATAATTATTCACGAGTTTGTTTGCAGTTGAATGGTCTGACAAAAATTGCATCTGATGTCCACATTGTGATATGAGTCTGCTTTTCCACCAATCAGCAAGAAATGCAGAGCGCACATCCTTTTGAACCAAGATCTAAATTTTAAGGTGACAATCTATTGAAAGAATTGTTGTTTAACCTAGAGAAATTGAGGCTCGGCTCACGAAAAAGAGGGAGGCATTTTTCAGGTATAGACAACTGGCCTTGAGTGAATTCCTGGAAGAGTATAAGGGCAGTAGAATAATACTTAAGGGGGAAATCGGGAGGGCAGAAATGGGACATGAGATAGCTTTGGCAAATAGAATCCTTTTGGATTCTCCTTAACTCTATAAATACATTAAAGGCAAATGAATAACTAGGGTGCAAGTCGGGCCCATTAAAGATCAACGTAGCCGTCTGTGTGTGGAACCATAGGAGATGGGTGAGATACTAAATGACTATTTTGTGTCAGCGTTTACAGTGGAGAGGGTCATGGAAGCTAGGGAACTTGGGGGAAATAAATAGTGATGTCTTGAAAAGAGTTCATACTACAGAAGAGGAGGTGCTGGAGGTCTTAAATACATAAAAGTGGAT